TGGCCATTCTGACTGGTGTGAGGTGATACCTCATTGTAGTTTTGATTTGCATTTCTCTGATAATTAGTGATATTGAGCATTTTTTCATGTGCCTTTTGATCATTTGTATGTCTTCCTTGGAGAATTGCTTGTTTAGGTCTTCTGCGCATTTTTGGATTGGGTGTAAAACAATGAATCTAGAACACTCTCTTACACCATACACAAAAATCAACACACAATGGATCAAAGACTTAAACATAAGACAAGATACAATAAACCTCCTAGAGGAAAACATAGGCAAAACATTATTAGACATACATCTCAAAAATTTTCTCCTAGAAGAAATAAAAGCAAGAATAAACAAATGGGACCTAATGAAACTTATAAGCTTCTGCACAGCAAAGGTAACCATAAGTAAAACAAGAAAACAACCTATGGAATGGGAGAAAATTTTTGCAAAAGGAATTAACTTTTTGACTACCTCTTACATGCCAGGCATTCTGTTAGGTAGTTCATATTAACTGTCTTACCTGAATTCTGTTAGAATCCCCTAAGAAAACTCTCACAGGCATTTTGCAGACGAGGGAAGCTGAGACCAGCTGTTAGAGTGCTTGGAGGTTCATTTAACTTCTGTCTGTTGATCTTCGTTTGCTGTGACCCCTGGAAGGACATTAAAAAATGAGGCCCCTCTTCTTTTCAAAGCTTTGCACGAGGCCAACAATACTATTGAGGAAGCTCCTTCGGTATGAACTTGGACAAACGATTCAACATCTCAGCTGCCTTGGTCTCTGTGCCTGTGACATAGAGCTGCAGGGAGAGCAGTGGTCTATACACTCAGGACACCAGCAACTCAATTCTGTGCAAAAAGCAGCTCTTGGGAAAATGAAACCACAAGGTCTGGACAGAGGACTTCGTCAATGCTCTGATAACTCACTGGACACCAAGCAAAGGGAGTGTCAGCTAATTGTGAAAACCAGGCCGAGAGGCACATTCCAGTCTTTATTTTCCTTTAAACGTGGCCACTGATTGTGTAACCTTGTGATAGCTGTTGCTCGCTGGTGCAAACGGGACCATTCTCTCCACCCACAGATAGAAGTGGAGGCAGGTGCTCAGGACCCGCGGATGGGGCTGTCTTGAGACAGCATCTCTCCTGACAGCCCTTTCCCGGATCCCTTTCGATTTTCCCCGGGGACCCATGCAAGCCTCTCCTTTCCCTGTCTTCCAGATTCCTCCTCACCCATGATGCCAGTTAACCATAAGGCCGCCCAGGTCATGGAATCCAAGAAGTACTTTGGATTAAGGTAAGGGTAAACTCTGT